ACTCTAATTGGACTATGAACTAGCTGAGTAAGATGACAATCAGAAAGCACACTTAAAAACTTCGGCCCCAAACATTGTTAGGGTAATTAAGATCACCTATCAAAAGCAAGGGCGTGTTAGGAAAACGCGTTGTAATTACATTAAATGCATCGTGTAGTTTATCAGCAAAATCAGAGACATATGAAGGTGGACGATAACAGCATCCCAATATATGTTTTTTTTATGTTGAACGTTGATACGCACCCAAATTATTTCTAATGGGCTCTTAATATTAAAAACAAATGATGGTATACTCTTAATGACTCCAGTTAGCGCGCCTCCGCCTGTTCGCAACTCTCTGTCCTGCCGAAAGGTAGCGACAACACTTTATAAAGGAACATCATATCGCGAAATAAGCATCTATTCAGAGGAGGCGAAAAGCTAAGCGTGGCCAAAAGACGCCCGTAATCATAAAATGGCGCTGTCTAACCTAGCGGTCACAAACAAGGTTCACAAAGCGCCGTTGCACAAACACTGGCCTAAGCGTTGAACTGCAACGCTATGGAATACCATACCGGAGAATAAAAGTGCAACCTTTTTAAAACTAGCGAGCGAAAAGGGTGCAGTATGCAAGAGTAACTGTATAAGCTACGAGTCATGCGTGAAATTGCTCACAGCAAGGAAAATAATCATTAAGAAGTTTCAAAAGATAGAAACTAAAAGTCAGGCGGGAATCAAACAAAACACCAAGGTCACATACAACAGAAAACCTTGCAATGTCAGCGCCATGTAATCTATCAGGATGAACATCGACATTAGCCTTCTGCGAGAAAGAAACTACCATCGTTTTTGCAAGGTTCAAAGACCACAAGTTTGTGCGAGTCCAAAGATGAATTGGATCAACGTAATTTCGCACCAATTCAACGGACTTGCCTTGCAACAATAAATGTTCACGTTATCAGCAAACTGAAGCAGCTTCTAGTTGCTGACACTTTATACCGGGTCATTTATAAAAATATTGAAAAGCAAAGGTCCTAAATTTGGACTTTGTGGGACTCCGAAATCTAGGATATAGGGAAATTACTTTTATCCTAAGTGAGAAACAGTACTCGAGTAATTACTAAGGTAGCTGGAAAACAAATCGAAAAAAAAAAAAACGAAGACTGTGATTAAAGTGCTCTATCCTCGATACATTGTGATATTCAAGGACAAACGTCTTTTGAGTTAAAATATATCAACCTGGCCGTGGGACCCAACTGTTGGCGACGTGCGCGATCGAAAGCGTCGCTGTGGTCGGCCTTCCACCATTGGCCGAATGCTGACTATGACGTCAGTGAAGGATTTCTCTTCGACGGAAATAAGAGGAATGGAAGAACTTCAATTTCGACGGTGTTGGTAGTGTTTCTTTAAGAGCGCGGTGGTTTCAAGCTTCCACCATGCTCCTTACAAACACCATCCAACTTGTTGTTCGCAAGGTAATGACGTCACGAATGGTAACCATAGGAGGGCGCCACTAAAAAAACATCTAGCCGCTAATAGGCGTTGCGAACTCCAAAAACGTTACAAGAGATATAGACCGAGTTAAGGCTTAAAAATAACTTTTTTTTTAATGTAGAAAAATAACAAGTAGCAATGCAATTAGTACGTAAATGTCGACAGACATGGTGCTTCCAGAATTGTTAACTGGCACAACCACAGCATTGTTTTCACTCTGATGGAAATGCACTTGTCATTAAAGACAATTAAAAATATGCTGCATCACTAGACTCAATATATCACAGCACCCATTAACAACAAAAGACGGGAACCCAATCTTCCGCATCAGCTGTCACCAGCCAGGAAGGGGGCCAGCATCGAGGCACCCTAGTTTAGGGAGCTGTTACGTTGATCCTTCTTATTCATTTAAATTTTCTTTGTCTTTGGCTAGTGGTTGTTTGGTTTAGGCTATAATAATGAAAATATATTTAACGTCTCCCATCTTCTACGAGCATCCAGGAAGGTGTTTGCAGAAGTCCCGGAGTCTTTACACAGCATGTCAATTACGATGATCGGTTGTTATGTCATCAGCAACCGCCTATGATTGTTGCCTAGGCACGACTTGGTACGGAAGCATTATGATCAAATATGTTATATGGGTATGTTTTAATGCTCATTGGCGCCTAAAGAAATAGCGGCAACTCTTCTTATTGTATGATCCTGGTGGTCTTTCGGATATGATTTCAATGAATATTGTCCCGCTGTTATCGTCCAAATGAAGTAAACATGTGGTGGAGTTGAGTAGGGTCCGTGAAAGTATACGAACCTCATACGTTCCTCTCGCAAGATTTTGAGAAATTAAGAAATCCTGTAGTGATCCGAAAATGGAAGATTAACATTGTTCAGGAATTCTTACGAGCTCTCTTCAGACCCATCAGCAAACAAACTCACAGAAACGAGCTGTTGATCACGCCTTGGTACTTCACATATGAAACGGTTGCTATAAAGTTACCTTCCTCAAGCGTGCGCCAAGTGAATGAGCCCCGAGATCATTCAAGTTTGACATTCCACTGTGAAGCCTAAGTAAATGCCAGGCTCACACCATTGAGTTATTCTAACGTATGCTAGAGGTTAAACTGACGCTAGCGTGCTGTCGGAAATTGAAGCAGAGAGCAACCAGTCGGAAATTGACTTCCGGTAATGTATTTCTATGAGAAAAAACGAGCGTATTTTCTCCCTGCGCTTGATTATAAGAGCAAATATCACGAATAATTCGTGCGTTCTAGATAGCTTTGAACATTTTTCAGTCACCACAGACAAAATAATTGGTCAGTTACAGCGTCTTTATTTCAAACTCGTAGCATTAAAAACGATGCTAAAACGGCTTCGTACATGTATTTAGGTGCACTGTCGGACAGTGTCAGCGCGAACACGGCGTCGGCGCTTTCCAGCATGTGGGATGTACGTGCCAAACAAACAAGCGACATCAGGAAAAACAAGAGAGATGGCAAGAACTACGCAGTAACACTGGATCACTAACTCCTTGTGCATATAGAGGATCAAAATAAATTGAAGGCCACGTAATATAGTCAGATTTCCAATAAATAAGTACTGCTTTATTCTTTGTGCTAATGAATGTGTGCGAAGATGCTTGTTCGGCGTTCAAAACATCACCTGCACGCTCGAAGGTTTTGAAAATAGGGAGAAGCTAGAGGACAGGTGCCCGATAAAAGCTGCCCGGCATAAAAAATAATAAAAAAGACACACCTTTCACAGCTCACATCCTTTCTTCTTTACGTTTTGAATGATTTTAACCGCTCGTAAAGATGCACGAAGGGCGGCATTTTTTTAGAGTGACATGATGCGCATATCAGCAATATATGAGCGCCTCATTCCAGCGAACCTTGAACACACTCTACCTTCCTTTCGATTGTTATTTTGCTTAGAATCGTCGCTCGTTTTTACAAACCTGCTATCGAAGAGAGGATTGGGCCTGAAATATAGCGAAGTTTACCATCATTCACTGGTAAAGGCAAATACTTAATTAAAGCAATTACACTTTTACAATGATAACGAAGGTGCATACCATTCCGTACGACCCCAATATCAAAAGTGCTCCATTTTATTTTCCGCCGAAGAGAGAAAATGTACGCTTGTTTTCCCGCAGGAATGCACAGGAGCACCGCAAAAGTAGACTGGTTGCTGTCTGCTTTAATTGGCGTCCCGGAAGTCGCATAGACACTAGCGCCAGTTGAACCTCTAGCGTACATTATAATAACTCTATTGCTTACACCAAGTGGTAGCAGGCGGCGGTCCGGTATACCAGAAACTAGGCATGTCCACGTTATTAAGAAAGAGTTACTACGAACGGTTATTCGTTATTCGCTCAAGTATAGCTATCAAGCACGTTGTTCATAGTGACTGCCCAGTCGTATAAAGGGTCTGCTAACTTAAAAGGAAATTCTTGCAACTTTTTGTTTTGTTTTATTGAGCGGTGGCCGACATCCCTACCGAAAACAACAGTATAACTTTTCGCTTACTGGATTACGGAACTGAAAATCTAACTGGATTTCTCGTTGTAAACCTCAAATCCAGTTCGCAGACGTCTGCAAACTGGATTTCAGGTTTACAACAAAAAATCCAGTTAGATTTCCAGTTTCATAATCCACTTAGCGAAAAGTTATGCTGATTTTTTTGGTAGTGATATGCCACTAAAAAATACAGATGCGGCACAAAAAGGCAGACAAAATCCACCGAATAAACTTAGTTTAATTTTAATTTGACCAGCCTCTAGAGGATCAAACATTTTAGGAACAATAGGATACCACTGAGATACACAGCGCTATTTGTAGCCATGCTGTGCAAATTTGTGATACCCTGTTTTTCGTTTTCTTTTGAACGCATATGATTTGTGCACGCGTCTCAGTTAGGGGAACGTTCATGGGGCATACTTTCTTCAGCAAAAGCAACTCAACACCAATACTCGTCACTATGACAACATGTAACTAAAACATGTTAGTCGTTCCAGACCAGACAAAGTAACAAAAAATCGTTACTTCGGAGAAAAAAAATAATAATAAAGTAACGAGATACAAATAACGCGTTGAGTACTAGTCAGCCGGGAACGGAGTGGCTACGAACCTGCCCACCTGTCTGTCTACCTGCCTCGGCGAATCAAAAGAAAACCCGGAACGCGAGAGGAGAAATCCAACTAGAAAAGGAATTGCTGCAGGTATTCGAACGATGGAGGGAGGGGACGAGCAAGAAAGTTACCGAATCGAATTAAACAAAAAGTGAACGCCGCAACCAAGTCAGACACAGAAAGAAACGAAGGAGAAGAGTGAGGAGGAATAAAAAGAAGAAAAATGGCGATGAGCGAAAGAAGCAGACGGCCGGCCGAGGAGAGAAAGCATCACGTGACTGGCCCCGCCTCCCCCGTATAAAAACGTGGGCCGTTCTCTCCGCCTGAGGTCACTCGGAACGGGTTTTGCGTCGAGGACTTCAGCAGGCGCAGCGCTGCGCCGAAGGCAAGAAGAGAAAAAGGTTCCCGACGTGCACCGTCCGCGAATGTGTGTGTGTTTCGACGGGCGACTGCGACCACAACTAAACGCCGAGAACCTCGCCTGACAGAGGATTTGCGCCCCCCACGACACGACGCTCGAGACCCCGTGAGGTTCGCCGCCGCCGCGGACAGACTTGGACGGAGTTTCTATTACTAAAGCCGACGGAGCGGCCACATCCAAACTCGGAGGAAGGGAGTTTTCGAAGGCTACGAGTCGCCCACCTGTTCTAGGTGAGTCACGAAACGTTTGGTTGTCCGCTTGTTGTTTGTATGTCCGGGTGTCTGGAGCACTTTAGGGTCCGTGTGTAGAAGTACGGCTTTCACTGGTTTGTGAGCAGTCGGGGAACGCGCGCGACCACTGCGCGTTTCGCCGTCCTAGATTTCACCGTCGTCGTCGGCGTTGCCGACGTCGCGAGTCGGCGAAAGCGTAGGACTTTCTATGAGACGACGGCAAAGGGGAGGGGTTGCGCCGTACATTCACAACCTCGGTCCAAATGGAAATTATTTCGTCTCCGCACCATCGCTGAATCGCGCTGTGCCACTCTCGAGTTCTTCCACGTTGTTGTCGTTCTCGCTGTTTTCGCCGCCGGTGGTGGATTACCGACGGGGAGGATACGGGGAGGATATCTTCAGGGCCTTCTAGAAACTGGGTTGTGATCGCCTCGTTGAAATTCGCCGAACCCAGCCACGGAAGTCGAGACGTGAGCAGAAATTTTGAGTCGGCCTATCTCGAGGAATAGGGTTCGACAGCGGGGGCATGCTGTGCTCAAACTTCTTACATTGATGTGTCATCGGAGTGAACGCAAGAACTGGGAGCACGGGGTTAGACCGATAAGACGCTTTCGAACTGACTGCAGCACGGAACTGGGGAGAGTTCGGTACAGATGGAGAGATCCTCATGATCAGTTGGTTAGGGAGGTGAAAATCGTGTGCTGGGGGGGGGGGGGGGGGGGGGGGGGGGGGGGGGTCAGTGCTTTAGGAGAACTAGATGTTACGGATTACCGTGAAGGATGTAGGAAGTGGAAAACGCCATGATTCGCGTACAGATAGTCTAACATAGCTTACAACTTGCTGTTTCGTTGGGCACAAAAGAGTAAAGCCGAAATGTACTCTTCACTCAGTATAGTCGGTGACATATTAAGAATACACTAGACGGTGCGCCTCCATCGCTATTTTTCTGCCTTTGGTAACACTTCACCGCAGGCACGCACAGACAAAGCTAGCAACGAGCGCGTACTGGAAGTAGTACTTCTACTGCATTTGTAGCCTGTCACGGATTACACAAACTCCCGCGCCAAGACTGTGGTCAACCTGAAAGAAAAGAAAAAAAGCTTTTCGTAAGTTCGTGAATTTTGATAGTTCTAAGTTACTACCATATTTCGTCTTTGAGTGTGTGTAGCGTTCCAGAAGGCTCGGCATCCCGAAAAAATACATCTATCTTGCTCTCAGATATTTTTACTTTTGAGATTTGTCTGCTTGGCAACGCGTTCGTGTTTACGTGAACTACTTTTTGAAGCGACCTTAAGAAATCTTCAATGACCACCAGGTGTCAGCACTGACACGTCGCCGCGTCTTGCATGCGTCGTTACCATACCCCGAGCGTAATAACCCTGCCCCATTGTCTGCCAGCCTCTTTGAGCAAGGTCTGCCCCTCGTCGGAATGTCCGGCGCAGCGGTCAGGCATTAGAACTGGGAATTTCACAAGGTTATATCGCGCTAACGGGACCAGAGCGCCGGGTTATTCGCCAGAGTGCCCACAGCCCCCAACGAAGGTCGCGAGGGGGGCGACTCTGTCTGATGTAAAAGCGGACAGAGGAACGCCACCAGCTCTTGTTCCTTCGGAAGGAACTAACGCTAGGCAGGAGAGGCCACACACGCTTGACTACAAATCTCTTCTGTTACACCGTTTAGCCACTCCCGGGTTTGAGTTGCACCCATTCATTTTTCTACTAATTATCGACCTACAATATTGAAGCAGGCACCGTTAGTAAACGAGAAGACTGTTCAGGGGACGTGAGCAACTTCTGAGTTTATTTATGTGCGTAAAAGTATGCATTTTATTCCACCATGCTCGGTGTATGTCCGATGGCAATCATAAACTGCAGTTGCACAAATCACGCGATATGGTTTAAAATATAATTTATTTATTTTAGATTAGCGAGTCAAATGTATTTAATAAATTATTACTATTCCTATGGTTACTATTCTTAAGCCCATTGAGCTGATTCAGTCTACGTTTCTATGTATTTGATTCCCTTGTTGTTCTTGTTTTTTAAACTCCTTTACTTAAGGGTCTACTGAGTAGTTGTAAATAAAATTTTAATTTTTTTTACGAATCATGATATATTAGGACATCATATGCGACTTGATTCAATTTTATTCGCTCCAACGGCATCCGGGATATGCTTTACATTGGGTGAAATTCAAAACAAATAAAACAAATATCATGCTACAGATGTCGAATAATTTTTCTGATTAGAAAATACTTGATGTGTTTGATCTCACTGAAATACAGAGCGAGACACAGTTTAACATGAACAAACGATCATCACTTTATGCTGGTTTTATCTCATTCCCGACATCCTGAAACATCCTCCCGTTGCGCCCTCTGCCGGAAGTTCTCAGTAAAACTCCGCAAATAATTGATTTCAGCCCAACAACTGCATACGTTGCAATATTCCCCTGAAGGAATCAAAGACGGCATTAATCCATTTATAACTAATACTTATCAAAACCTCAGTGACGTATATTTATATCCCTAGACCCGAAATATTTTTTTCGTTGAGTAATTTGGGCCAGTATAGGAAAATCATGAATTTCTGCCAGTCACATTGAAGACGTAATATTCCTGGGGATTTTAGTAGCACATGACTCATGGCCCGTATCAAAATCAACCATTTCACTATTTATATAAATATTATTTGTTCTCCAACAACGTTTCGCATTGATTACAATATTAGCTCGTGTAAAGTTACCATTCCCGTGTAGACCGACGCCCTGAGGCCAAGCAACCTTTACAAATGCTCCATGGTGATAGGATCGATGGTATGAGGCGCTTGTAACATCATTAACGTTTAGCCACCATGTGTGGCCTTGCAAGAAAGCTAAGACAATATGTAGCGCAATATTAGGCATGGTTAGGCTGTCATAAAAACTGGTAGGGTGGTGGGCTATGCACAATGTGGGCATCATCTTAAGTGGCATGATTTTATGCTCGTCAATAATCTATCCAAGCCAAATGGGAAATCGCGCCAATGTTGTGTTCACGTAACTTTCGCGTAGCATACATGCATTCTGTCTCTATCTTATCATAAATGGCACAGTTAATCAGAATGCCATCAACGAAGACGTATTCGCAGTTGTGAATAATAATCTAACACCAGACTTGATACGGAAATCGTGTGCTGTCCGATGAAGCACTTCTCAACTAAATAAAGAACAGGGGTGTAATTTATTTATATATAGCATGCTATTTACTTGCAGACTACACCCAGACTACATTGAGTGATACCGAATATGAATTGTAAAAAAATGGCATTTAGAATATACGGTAGTTTAAATAAACAATCATCGCACAAAGAGAGTTTAAAAAAAAACCAAAACGTTTAAGCTATTGCACAAACATAGCATGAAGTCTAACTTCTAATAAACACTAATGACACTCGCGAGTGATACACATGAGGTGCATAACATAGTGTTGTAGAAATTGAAAGCAGCGAAAGAGGTTACTATCACACGTGGTGAAACAACCGCAACGTTAGGCTTAGTTCACCGACAGTGAAATCAGAACTGGGTTAGAGTCTTCTTTCGAGATATATGGTGTTTGCTGTGTCCACGTTTCGCTTGTTTCAATGGCTATCGAGACTCGTGGGTTGCTTGGCATTTGGGAGAGGCGAGCAAGGACTTTGAAACAAAGCGCTGTTGAAACAAGCAGAAGGAAGTAATCGACATCGTGGGCGACGCATTGAGAAACATATAGAGGGTAAACGTCTGGCTCGTTTACTCCTTTAAAAGTTTAGCTTGCACGAGCAAGGGATGCAAATGCTGGCAAGTTGCATTGATGGATATTTTAAATTACCGTCAAGTACGTCTTGCTTGCAGTTATTCACTGCAATAGACTTCTCACTTCAAAATTTTTTTATGCGCTCCCTGTTCATGGACTTAGTTGAGACACATGTTGACACGTCAAACAGGCAGTGTGTGCGACAATATCTGGTATTACGGCTCTTTTCAGTTTTTTTTTTTTACTTTATTATGAAGAGATGTATGTTTACAATAAGAATCTTTTTATATATTAGACAATTTAGATTTCTACGAATGTTCTTAAAAATGGTGGCCTCGCGTGATATAAAATTGTTGCCTGCTTCTTTCTTCGCTCTGCTTGCAGACAACGATATAAATGAAGCATCAGCTGCTTGGGAAGAAGAGGGGACGTCGTCTGTGTTTATGTTTTATTGCTACACATTTTATCTCCCACTTAAACATAAAAATGTCACTAGTTTGATTGTGGACACATGTAATTAAGGGCTCACCAAAAAAAATAAAGGCTTGATTTTGATCTTTGCACAAAAATGTATTTAAAGACCGACGTACAACCTCGGTTTTCAGCAAGGAAGATAATCCTCTTAGCGCTCCCCCTTTCCTGAGCTGCGAGGGCAGCCAAGTTAGGGCAAGTTAAAGAGCGAAGAGAACACAGGAAAGGGGGAAGGAGGCAGGCAAAAGTGGAAAGCGCGAAGTGTACCTTAAAACAAATTTCCGTTTTTTTTTTTGTTTTTTTTTTTGTTTTTTTATGTGTGATGGCAGTTTAAGTGTGTCTGAAATATCCGATGCAAGTCGCACCAATTATCTAAAGACTAGAAGTTACCTGAGCACCAGGTGAAGGTATCTTTCATCGTCAGGAAAGGATATTAATCAAGATTGTGGTGAACCGATTTACGCCGATAAGAGACATTATTTTCAAAAGTGGGTACCATCTAGTACCTGCTGCGCAAATTACGCGAGTCCGCCATTGTTTGAGCACGTACTCGGAGCGGGCACGAGTGCTACGTCAGCGTTCGGCGTAAACTCGGATCCAGTCACACGCTTCCCGCCCAGGATGGATGGATGTTAATGCTTTATACCCTTTGTAACAAGCGGTACCTTGCGCCACCTAGCTGAAGTCTAAAAAGACAAAAATGGCGACCGCTAATGTTGCTTGATGGGATGCGGAAACGGGTCTATTAATGCTGAGC